GGAAGACGTTATCATCCATTGTCAATGTGGTACACTAAAATGGATGGGCTGGTTAATGATGTGTTAGATTGTTTTGATAAATCAATTTTCATTGCTAGCATGGGAGTGTTCTGCAATCAGCCAGGTGTCTGCCTCATAAGTTGTAGAGTTTTCCCAAGGGTCATGTGGCCACCAACACATACTCACATATAAGTAGGACATTGACAAATACACTCAACATTGTTTACTGCATATAGACAACTACATTCAACTTGTGTATTGGATCTGCTCTGTCTGCAAGAATGATGAGTTCTAACATGTAATCACATGTGACGATATTAGCAACATGTGTCTTTTTCTCACGAAATTATGGTTACCACTCATTTATTTAAATGCACTATGTGTTCTAAAAGCTGCTCATATATGTATATATAAAAGCATATTAGTAAGAAAACATATACCTAAGTGTTAGAATACTAAGTATAAACCATTTTGGCTGGAATTCCCCATTAAAAACCTTTAATGGAACTATTACCAAGCAAAGGTCAAACAGAATTAGATTTCACAACCTTTTATAAAGCACATCCATCTCTCTGCCTTTATTGAACTTTATGTGTGTTCTTAATACTTTGACCCCAACACTGCATGTTGTGTAGCGACCTGTTTAATAGTAATATAAAGTGCATACAACACTGTTTTCATAAAACATGAGGATTTACAAATTCACACAAAACTGTGTGTGAGCAAGAGAGCACATTGAATATGCATGTAGTTTTGTTCACTTTCTGACAGCATTGCGGAGGCCTACATCCATCAGTGAATTGACTTACACTGCTGTAATTTGGTATATTGGATATATAAATTGAGTAACTATAAGGTGTGCTTTAATCATGCTAATTTAAGAACATATTGACAGATTCAAAGGTCGTTTGCAAAATACTGCACATACGTGAAGCATAAACCAAAAAAACAAACTCAATTGCTTGAAGACAAAATGAAGTTTGCTGTAATATTTCCATTACACATACCCTAGTCTTCAACTCATTTCCTCACCTCTTATCTACAACCTGTTCTCTTAAAGGCAGATTTCGGAGCCGACGATGCTTCATGAATTTAAACGAGGCAAGGGGACTGAACCGAGCCTATAAGCCAGCATACACAGCCAATATGCTGGTCTTTTTTAATGTTTCCCTGGATGGCGAGGTTCACATTCGGGTAATTGAGTTTAGAGGCTGTCGCCAGGAACACCGTTTACATTGAACAAACTTTGAAAATGTGTAACGCTGCATTTCACAGTGCAAAGGCCCTGCCAGTGCTAAACGGCGTATAAACCAATTGAGCACCATTAATTCACTACCTCGGTAAGAGATTGATTGTATAACGTTTGGTAGGATAAAAAAATGTTGGGGATTTTTTTTTTATAAATTACATTGCACATTGTAAAGTAAATTGAATTTAAGCTGCACCACAGAATGTTCTCGTGATAGACACGTTCAGTAATTGAATTATGATTAGCCATGTTTCACTCTATCGTTCTGTTAATATTTATTGCATTGCCCATTCATGTATGATCAACGTCGTCATTATCCTGTATTGCTAATGATGATCATGTTCGGACCTTTGCCAATCCACTGCTGAAAGAAGTCCTGCCCTTGCCATGTCGGCCATGGGCATTGTTTGACCGCCCTACAGGATTCTGGTCAGTGCAGGTTGGCGAGGAATTGGTTCAGATATTACTCACCTCCAATGTTAGCCACGGCTAAGAATTTAACTCAGGTAAACTGGTTCACAGTCGGGTGCGTAAACCACTGCACTACCATTCTCCTCCACCTCGCGTTTATCTATTTTATATATTTAGAAGACCATTCGTACACACTCCCAAGACTTAAATATAACACACGCTGCATTTAAAGAGACTCATGAGTCTGTAAGTACATTTTCCAAATTCACTCCTGCAGGTTTTCAGGTGGATACACATCAGTTGTGGTCAAATTGCATTCTGTAGGAATATTATCGAATCAAACCATATGCTTAGAAAGTTGGGTTTGCTGACTTTTTCTAATGAACTAGGATTTCTAATAAATCAGTTGTGTTTTTCAACGAGTATTCCAAATAACAGATGTAGCCGATGCAGGCGATTGAGGATGATGATGATGATGATAAAATAATTTTTACTTGAATATATTCAAACCATTAACATATATTGGACTTTTCGATTTAAAGCTTTCGTGACTGCAATGATTCATCTTCTTTGGTTCTTTCGGTAAAGTCACGTAGAATGAGAATAAAATAATAAATTGATAAAATAAAATAACACAATAATATTCTCTTGTGGCCGAAACGTCGTGAGAATATTATTGTGTTATTTTATTTTATCAATTTATTATTTTATTCTCATTCTACGTGACTTTACCGAAAGAACCAAAGAAGATATATTGGACTTGCACATTTTACTTAACGTCCATGTGACCCGCACAATGCTATATAAGGATACGAATTAGAACAAAACTCGTGCTACCATGACGAATTCAGAAATGTGTATAAAACCATAACGAACATAATGTAACATGAAAATTCGATTTTATCAACCTAGCACGATGGGGAATTGAAATAAAAAAAACCTCAATATACACATGGGTTGTGAAAATGGCCTTTATCAAAGGAGATTGAAAATTGTCTTAATGGTGTTCTATGCTTGAGTATAAGTGATTGGGGATGGTAATAATCTCAATGTGTGAGCATGAACACTTTCCAATCACTGTGCTCATACCAAGTGAACCCCACAATTACTTTCCACCCTGGAGCATTCTTATTGAAATTTTCAAATGATCAAATTTTCACATTTCCTTTGGGACGAAAAAAAAGGTGCATTCCAAAGAAGTTTTACTTTCCAGGAAATGATGTACGTAATGTGATGAGGGCTATATGATCAGATAACTGTGATAAGCTCATTGACACTCGAATTGACAATTAATTTCACAAGTTTCATTTGTTCACTATCGATATGAGCTAATAGTGTACAATCGTGAGCAGTATTGAACTTGATGTTTTCATTTTTTATTTGGTGTTAAGAGGCCGTCCATAAATGACGTCACGCGATTTTGGCCAATTTTTGACCCCCCCCCCCCCGTCACACGGCGTGACAAAAAGTCAGACCCCCCCTCAAATATGACGTCACAAAACTCTGCCCCCCCCAAAAAAAAATATATGAAACATGCTTCGAATCGCTTTAAACTATTGTCATTGTAGTGCGTATTTAATGTGGCGCTGCACTCTGATGTTGTACTAGAAAACATTTATTAAAAAGTATATTTAATTAAGTAGAACGTGTTGTCTACATTTATTTAAAGTTACGCATTTTGATGTGACGTCACATTTCTCAAACTGCCCCCCCCCCCCTCGTCATACATCGTCACAAATGTCTGACCCCTCCCCCCCCCGGTGCGTGACGTCATTTATGGATGGCCCCTAAGCTGACATTTGTATTTAACAAAAGCAGGAATAAGACATTACTGTGACTCGCGATTTATTTCGTGGTAATAGCTGATTAGAAAAAAAACTTTATACTGATATCGTGAAAGTTTCCATTTTTATTAGAAATGAAATAATTATTGGTGTAAAATTAACAGCTCCTACAAATGCAGTTTAAACAACAACAACAAAAAAACGTATGCATATATAATGTATTAAATTGCACCACCTAATGGACATACAGGCAGATGGTAGTAGTACCTAGCCTGCCAAAATCTTGCGATAAAGGTCATTGCACACAATGTACATCACACTGTTGCACATGATAAAAAGCCCTAAACTCCTTTCACAATCCAGCGGTGCTGTAATATCGACAGCGAAGGTGACCTATTTCCTTATTGCTCTGGGGGCTATGATACATATCGCATTTGTGCTCGTACATTCTTTGACCAATAATCTAATTTGCTTCATATTTGATTAATGGTTTGCATACATTCTGCAATTAAAAATATTTGTTTTATGATCCTCTGCACACAAACAATAATCTATTATTGACGCATTATGTTTTAACATATAAGGTGTTTGTATGCTTACACAATAAAATGACTGCAGTGTTGATGACATGTGCATGTACAGCACTTTGTCAATCCACTGCTGGATGAGTGCTTTAGAAGCATAGTAAAATGCAGCCACAAACGTTGCTGCAGTGCCCTCTAATGATGGCATAGCTATCCAACCACCTACAACATCTTACACTTCAAATTTAAACTTTATTGTCTTGGTCATCACCCACACAAACGCTATTAAAGCTTCAACTTTGCTTAGCTTCCGGAATTTGATTGGATCTGACATATTCCAGTTTATTTGGTCAAAGGCGCAGTGTTGGTAAAAAATAGAAAATACTCAATGAAATCATAATAGTGTTTTAATTTAGTTGAAACAACGCTGTTGTGATTTATTATTATTAAGTACAGCACATCAAATGTCAGGCAATTTTCCAGTGTCCGTGTAGATTGTTTCCCGTCATTCAATGCCTTTAGACTTTAGAGTATTTGGCTGCTATAACTGTCAACGTGATAAGCCAGTTTAACACGTAGGCTTTCGTGACCAAAATCATCCATAATAGAGTTTTTTGGGGTTAGATCGCGCAAATATATAAATGTGTCGTTAAAACCCACCACCACCCGACACAGCCAACTAGTAAGGTTTGTCACGTAAACAGAACATGCCAATTCGTTACTAGTACAGCACGCCGGTGTGTTGGAGAGCCAAGCCACAACATTTACAATCTGAGTACGACGTTTCGCCAGTAATAACAACTAGCTTCATCAGGCGGCAGCCAGATTTGTGAAGTCCACCTGTTTTGTTCCTTATATAGAGGCGTAGATGTGGTGATAAGCCACTTCGTTGAGCTATCATATGTCGCCAGGTTGCTTCTGAAAAAGAGCTACATAGCTCAGTGGGCCTTACCTGCGAAAATAAAATAAATGCTTAGCTTATTTTAGCTGACAGACATGGAGGGCAAGTGATGTGATGGGTGAACCTCAAACCTGATTAACGTGATCCAGCTTCGGGCATGGTCGGCCTCTGTTGTAGGGTTTCTCCCGCAGCCACTTGGAGCGAACTTTCATGCCGCTCCCGCAAGACTTAGTGCACCGTGACCAGCTCGACCACTCGCTGAGCTTGCAGTCCGACGGGCACGGCACCACACACGACTCCTCCTGGTAGTCTGCACGGGTATGGTGGCGCATGCACACGAGTGTTTTTTTCATGGCGTATAAAACGAAAAAGGTACTTGAGCGGCCGTTGCGTCTGTTTGGTTATTGTGCAGCATCAACACTTAACCCTACTGCATAAACATAAAATTAGTTTGTGATGAGTCGAATGTAAAAGTGCAGGTCTGCAAATTATTTCGCCACTGCTAGCAGAAGGCCACTGCTTCGGGGTCATTTGGCTTATTCTTCCATGGCGATCAAACGCCTTGGAAGAGATGGGAGAACCAGCACGTTACCCGTGCTGCATAGGCCCTGTCTATTGACTAAATGTGGTGGACCCATTTATTCTGCTGGGTGGCACTTAGGTGGCTGGACAGATTTAAGAAACTTGCACCGTTGATCTTCTTTGGTTCTTTCGGTAAAGTCACGTAGAATGAGAATAAAATAATAACATAAAATAAGACAATAAAATTATCACGACGTTTCGGCCACAACACAAGTAGCCTTCTTCAGGTGAAAGAACAGAACTGTCGGGACGACAGTGCTTCATTGAGCGCTGCTAAGATTCGTAGCGTCTTTTATGCTCGGTGAGAGGCGTGATGCGCCTTTACAAAGGAGTTTATATATCAAAGCAGGAGAATTTAGCATTGAAATAGCTGAGGGATTAGCTTGTGACAGAAATAGCTATGTTTAAGTTAAAGTTTACATATCAACAGAGGCATTTAGTATATGGACGCTAAAGGCCTCCAACTACCCAACTATCATACAGTAAACCGATGTGAAAAATGTACTTAATATATTCTTCAATAAGCTGAGCTATTAATCACAAAGCAACTGGGTATACACTACACTATATAATGAATACCATATAGTAAACCAATAAAAAAACTAAAATATAAACTACCTCAATGTTATCAATAAACTCTATATACTCTCCAATCAGCTGAGCAACCAACAATAAGTCATTATATATCACAATGCCATATGGCGAAAAATGGCGGTTTTCTTCCCCTCAACGCTAGCACCACGGACAGCGACAAGCCCCGTTCAGACGGACGAGTTAATCCATGCTCGGAACGGAGGAGGGAGGAGAGAAACAGCCACAATGCGCTGTTATACTCCATGTTATAAACCATACCATTAACCGTGGTGTGAGAGGTATTAAGAGGCAATGCCAGCGAAAGAGCTGCGGTCTGAAGGTCATCGTAAAATACAATTAAGAACCGAAATGGTTTAAAACATCTTTCCAATGGTTACTAAGCCAGAATCCATCTTCTCGGTTGAAATTGTCTCTGTGCTTGTATATGTGGATGGCCTCATGAACGAATCTCTCATGGTAGCCGGTTGGCTTGCAAAGAACCTCCGTCTTGGAGAAGTCGATGTCATGTGAACCCCCTGAATTATAACAGTGATCTGCCACGGCAGAAGAGTTCGTCCTATCGTGTTTCAATTCTGCTTTATGTTCGCGGATGCGGTCCGAGATATGTCGTTTGGTTTCTCCAATGTAGTTGCTACCACAGAGGCACTTTAGTCTGTAAACGCCCGGGTACTGTATGTCTGGAACAGCATCTTTTACAGATGGAACCAGATCACGGATTTTATGTACTGTGTTGAATCAGACCTGGATCTTGTGTTTATTCAGGATTTTGGAGATCTTTTTAGTGACCCCTGCAATGTAGGGTAAAGTGATGGTTTTGAAAGGCTCCTCAAGAGGATCCTTCTTCATGACTGGAGTGATTGCTTTGCGGATTATGTAGTCGGAGTAACCATTAGCCCTGAGAGCCTGGTGTACGTGCTTGAGTTCACTGGCAATGTGTTCCTGGTCGGAAATGCATTGGGCTCTATGGTATAGAGTCTTGATGAGGGAGCTCTTCTGGGATGGATGGTGGTGGGAATCCGGTTTCAAGTAAGCATCTGTATGAGTAGCTTTTCTGTAGACAGAGTGGCTCATTGAACCATCAGGTCTCCTTTTAATTAAGACATCCAAAAAGGGTAGCTTGCCATCTTTTTCGACCTCCATGGTAAATCTGATGGCTGGGTGTATGGAATTGATGTGGTCGAGAAATTGGTCTAGAGCAGGCTGGTCATGTGGCCAGATGACAAAAGTGTCATCCACGTACCTCTTCCATAAGGTCGGGCGTAGAGTGGCAGTCTGGATGGCGTCAGTTTCAATTTTTTCCATGAATATGTTGGCTACAACCGGAGACAGGGGGGAGCCCATTGGGGTGCCCTCAGTCTGTTTGTAGAAAGTTCCATTCCAGGTGAAGTATGTGTTGGTTAAGCAATATCTCACCAGGGGGGGTACATCAGTATGCAGTCCTTGATGAACCAAGTCTTCAATGATTGCGATGGTGTCAGGTACCGGAACTTTGGTGAATAAGGACACCACATCAAAACTGACAAGCAGGTCGTCTGGGGACAGGGAAATGCCTTTGATTGTCGATACCAGGTGAGTAAAAGATGCTACGAATCTTAGCAGCGCTCATTGAAGCACTGTCGTCCCGACAGTTCTGTTCTTTCACCTGAAGGCTACTTGTGTTGTGGCCGAAACGTCGTGAGACTTTTATTGTCTTATTTAATTTTATTATTTTATTCTCATTCTACGTGACTTTACCGAAAGAACCAAAGAAGATGAATCCTTGCAGTCACGAAAGCTTTAAATCGAAAAATTGCACCGTTGATTCAACTGCCACACAGGGAGATCAAATCGGCGACCTATGGAGTGCAAGACCAGCCTACTAGAAGTTACTCCACGACAGCATCCCTGTTTTATATATACGTGTGGGGTAAAGGCAACTTATCAAGCTCCCACATGCACGTGTATATGTATGCATGCACCCAAGCACACCTGTGCACAAAGAAATAAAATGCATCTATTCACACACGTGTTAAAACGCCTGTATTCATGCAACACGTGCTCGCAAATGTCACTTGAATTACACGAGGTTGAATTTGCATGGTTAGAAGTAAAATCAGACAATAATTCAATCGCTGTTAGGATGCCAAAAAAATAATACATTGCATGCTTACTCACATTGTCACGTAGTCAAGTTTTATTAAAGGTCATATTTTACCCCGAAGCACTTATGAGACAATATATCTGTGATAACACCACACAGTGACGTGTTTAAAATAATGGGAAAATGAACAACAACCAAAATACGTACGGTAAGTCACTGAGATGTTGGGTGGGTGTTGATGGGATGAGGGGTGAAGAACAGTGTCGTGGGTTGTCGCACGTTGCCTATTGGTGAACCATTGCGGGTTAAAAAGGGGAGTGGGCTATCTGCCTCATTCAAACAAATTAAAACCATTCTGGGTCAGCATGGGCTGTATGTAAAGCTGTCATGCTGTATAGATAAATATCTGATAAGATTCAATGGAAACTGACTTAGGCAAGTCTCAGGACAATATTGGATTTGGATTGATGTACCGAGGCTTGACAGTAATAAAAATGTGGTCGTGGGTGCACACGTGTGAATAAGTGTCAACTGTGGGTTATCTAAGGATTAATACACAGGGACTTCACATGCTCCTCAACAATGGCGGACATAGCATTGTGTGGTTGTGTAAGTGTGCACGTGTGTGTGTGTGCATGTGTGAGTTCACATGTATGTGGCTACATGGATTCGTCAGTGCATATGTAGGGCATGATATGTCTGTGCACATGAGTGTTTGTGTGTATGACTGGTTATAGCGACATAGCGAGGATTAAAAAAAAAACCTAAACAAGAAAATGGACAGATTCAGATAACAGCCTTTCATTAAAACACGGGGCAGATGTTTGCAAAACAAACGAGCAATACTTGTTATTCCATAATTAGATGTTGCGATCTCAAAATGCCACTGTAAAAAAAAAACAAGGCTAAAATCCTAAAGCAATAATATATTCCTCCTGCCATATATGTATGTGGAACTTCTTTTGCACTGTACGTAGTCAACCGTGCAAATTGTAGGCGCAAGGGAAGGACAACCAATTGAACACAAAAAAGCAGTTGTAAAGAAATTAGTTTTCAATCTGGATTGAAAAGCGCATAGCTCCAGCGGCTTCCTAATATCAACATTGTTTCACAGAATAAGAGAGAGCGCAAAACGAAGCATGAACTAATAGGAAGGCGAACGTACGTTTGTGCAGACATTCAATTCGACTTGGCACCCCATGCCGGTGCGGGTACGTGGACAAGCGCACTTTGAGAGCATGGGCACAACCACGCGCGCCCCCTGAACTGAACGCGATCGGTGCCGACTCCCGAGCCTGCACGCACTCACCGGCGGTGCTGCAGAGCGCGAGGTCGGCGAGCCTGCCCTCCTGGTCGAAGCAGGCGAGCGCTCGGTACGCCGTGCCCTGGCCGCACTCGCGCAGGTCTCCCGTCACCCGCATGCCCAGCTGCGCCTCCGCCTTTCCCTCCGGCAGGACGCAGTCGGACCAACCCCCCATGGGCTGGGGGCTGTAGTGCACGCACGGGCACGGCTGGCTCTCCAGCAGCGGGTAGAGCTGAAGGTCCCGGCAGCGCGGCTTCTTTTTGCTCTTGCCTGCCCGAGCGGTCACCGGCCACGGGAGACAGAGTTTAAGCCACGAGGCCATTCTGCCGAATGTCGGTTGCCAACAGGGGCAACCCCGCAGCGCGTGGGCCGTGGCGTTTACGCAATTGTTCGTAAGGTGAGCGACGTTCAAATGGCAGATCGTAAACATTCAACGAGCGGAGGTGGCTGGGGTATCCAACCCAATTATAAATAGATAGATTCATAAATACGCGTTGTGCTTTACTGTAAATATGCAGGAATCGATGTGAAAGATTAAAATATATTGGTGCAACAGTTACTATTTTCAGTAACCGTTTCCTTACAATAACATTGAGCCATTAACTGCTAATGTGCTGCGTGAATGTGGCCTGCAAGCCCAAAGTGATGGCGTTATTGCAGACCACTATATTTGACCTCAGTTGGTTGTCTATCTTGATGTGATCATTTGTTTAGAAAAATGATCCTCCGCTACCTTCCAAGCAGCATTAGACTGTGGTAAAAGGAAAAGCATCACATCAAGCCGCTAATTTTCAACAGCTTTCGTGTCCTCAAACTATTCATGGTCAAAGACATGAAACTGCCCAAATGTTGTTGTTTATGCCAAGTATCAGTCTGCTTCAGATTTAAAGCACTACAGTTAATTGAAGGACAGGTACACACACATGCACAAGATTCATTATGTAAGAACGCTTCCAGTTTCCGTGGTGTGATAAAATGAGAGGGACAGTCCCTCTGACTAATAAAGGGATGCTGTCAGTGTGCATACATTATATAATGATAAAGGCGTGCTGTCAGTGTGCATACATTATATAATGATCCATATCGGCAGCTGGCACTGCGACAGGCAAAGTTGTCCAATGTTAAAAAATATTAAAATGAACATATGCCCTTTATATTTTGCATGCATGCCAAATACTAAGAATATATGATTTAAAAGTCTAGTTTTAAACACTGGCCAATAAAAAAAACCCAACACGAACACAAACTTCACATGGCGAATTACAAAATACCCAGGATCACAACGGAATATAACAAAACATTCTTCCAGAAATGAATATCCCTCTAAAATGAAGACATTGTCATTCATGACTCCAAACGTGTCTTATAAATATATCGCATGCATGACTGAAGGTGATGGAGATTATTTCGAAAAAGCTATTAAGACAGTTGTCAATGCAACCATTTATGATTCGTTTGCAACATTACGGAAAAGTAATGAATACATAATTACCACAAAGTAATTTTCCCCTAAACAGTATGTTTGTGATCCTTCTATTTGTTTAAATACTTATGACAGGAAAGATAGCTGATATATTGGGCATATTAATCAGCAATGATGGTCTATCATGAGAGAACCAGACATTGATGGTTAAAAATGGTAAATTATGCGTGCAGCTACATAAACAATTATCATTTATTTCCTTCCAATATAACTGAAATATGCAAGTATCTTAAAAACATCCTCAGCCTTCCACTGCGATTACTGTAGCTAATATTTCGTGTGAACCGCTGAACACAGACTGCCAAGTGGAAACATATGAATGACAGAAAGTTAGTTTGTGATAAGTAACAACCTGAAATATTTTCCTACTTATTCGGAGCTTTTGCACGTGGAAGTGAAAGAAATATCAACTTCTCAATATCACAGTTGACTTCAAATAAACTAGCTTGGGATGACAATAAAGCATATGACTCAATGTAACTCACATTACAAATTCTGTATTATCAATAAGAAATGCACACATTTTTCTTGGGAAATTTCCAAAGCTTTCTTTCATGCAATGAGACATGTCAATACTCCAATAGATCGCCTTAAAATTTTCTTTGTTTACTACAATTTGCATACATTTGTATTTTCGAGAGGAAATAAATTGGCTGTACGTTTTTTTGTTGCTGGTAACAAATGTCAGTATAATGTCATCAAAATGACGGGTCTTTGAGAAAGTTGAACTGAAATTACAGAAGGACATATAGAAAGGAGACACACACTAAAACACATGATAGTAATTTTCTGGTGATTTAACAAAAGGATGAGCCACTGTAATATCAGGATATTACATCCAGTTGCCTGCATCAATGTCTATATAATACGGTATTTAGATACAGCTGTCTCTTTAAGCTGAGGGTATAATTTGTACCATTTCCCACGGTGAAGATGCAAAGTTCCACATTATCATATATATGGGTACATGTTTACATTTACTGCTAAAATAAATTAAACGTACATTTCTATTTTATAATAAGTTAACCATACATTTGGTATGCAATTTATTTCATATTTCATTACAAAGACAACATACAATATGTTAGCACTATGACCCATGTTGAACTTTGATTCATAAAGAGGCTGCCATACATTTTAATTTCTGCAAACAAACTCAAGTTATGTACAACCCTTGTGTAACAAAAAAAAACCTCTGTCTAAAAGCATGATAAAACCCCTAAATGTAATCACTTCGAACCAATATAAGTGGGAGTGCAATGATTAATGCTCCAAGCAGTTTGAAGATTCGTCTGGAATCAGAGTTGCCTTTAGATTCAACGATATATATTTAAAATTAAAGTGATTGTCGCAGTTTCTCGTGGCTGTAGGGGGTCCCAGGAACCTATGACACACACCATATATGAATAATAAAGAATAATATATTATACACGTGATTTAATGCCTGCAACATCAGCATAACAATAGGCTTACATTTTTTTATTATTTATCAGTACTGTACGAATTATAAATAGCGATAATGCAACTATAATTAAAATCTGTAAAATATTAGAAAACCCCATCACAACAGAAACATATTGCATGTCAGAAAACATGGATTGGCCAAAACACAAAGGTGTGAATAGCATGGTACAAAATATATCAAGCCTTATCCAGACCACGAGCTTAAATCAACTGAATGTGTGGCCATTGTGACATTTAAACCAACCAACTCAAGGTGTGAAGCTGGGACGGATACATTATCGAGGTTAATCACTCTAACATGCCATAGCGCCGGGAGTAAATGAAGCGCCAGATTGGGCGGTTGAGACACTTAAGCAAGGTAACATTTTAAAAGTACATTATTCCTATAAATAGTAAACAAATTGAGCAGAGAGACAATGATGTAAGCACCAGGCATTAATGCGCATTTGGAAGGGAAAAAAGCGGCTTGTTTCCTGCCAACTTCTACAATAAAAAAGCCACTTGCGGTTTTTTTTTTGCCATGGAAGTCTCAAAAGAGCAACAATTAACGATAAATGAAACTGCAATAATACATTCAAAGGCTTGCCTAAAACATGATTCAACAATTACCAGGACCATTATCCAACTTAAAAAAAACCCAGTTTGTCTCAAACGTGCTTCATTAATGTAAGCTTAGACAGAATAAAAGAAAATCACGATTCTGTGAAATACCATTATCATCCGGATAAAGTGAATACCTCATTAACAAGGTAAATGAATCCTGACAGGGATGGCGGCCAAGGCAGGTTGGCCAGGTCGAGCATGAAAAAACAAACATCGGCACTAATTTTCACGTCAGCATCAAGCGTACATTTAAATACCATCGCAGCGAGCAAGGTACATGAACCACTGACCGGTGGGGGCTCGCCTTCGAGAGCGGTTCAAGCCACAGCTTGGGGCAGTGCAGGGGCTCCAGCGGGACCAGGAGGTGAACACGCAGTCGTCCTGGCATGCCACGCGGCATGGCTGGGTGAGCCCTGGCGCTGGCGAGGCCCAACGGAAGCATTCCTGGGGGTCAGCCTGCCCGCCGTCCTCCCTGCGGCATGTCAGCGCTGTGGAAGTTCCCCCCCCCCCCCACCAGGACATAGCGGACGGCATCATCATCACCGTTGTTATTGTCATTATTGTAATAATCATCGGTGTATTGTAATCATCATCAGTGTCTTCATCTAGATGCATCAATGGGCTCTCGAGAGAGAGGAAGATGGCACCCTTCACACGGCCCACTCTGTAAAGTGAGAAATCACGACGAATGGCATCAACGCAGTGACCGAACATTGACCATCAATCTCCTGGTTTCCAGAGCAACACTGAAAAAAAGGGGTTCTTGATTACAGAGATGAATAATATAATTACCACCACTCGATATCCTTCTTCAACAGATACAAACAATTACTGGACTGGGCAGTGGTGTGCAGGCACAACTAAACAAAAAACACAATAATAATGAGCACTGCCTCATAAAGTAAACATATGTACTCAGCTGACGTTTCGGGTAATGGCCCTTCCTTATAGCAGAGAGAGAGGGAGGGCAGATATATGGAATTACTAATACAGCAGAATATCCTGTAATCCCATTATCCGTGTTTTCTTTGGGAAGAAAAAAACTACACGGAAATTAAACAGCATGATTTTGGATCTAAACTCATCTTATCCATGAAAAAGTCCATGGATAAAACAAACTCAATCGACAATGGGAATACATTCAGAAGTAATCACTGACATCAGGATTAATAGGGGTGCAGATAAAGTTATTTTCCACGGACCATTTTTGCGCCATGGATAATGAATAGGAGTTGCAGATAATAGGGCATCAGATGAATGGAGACCTAACGTGGTTGGAAATGTAAGTGTTAGTCGTCATTAATTTATTTTGTTGGGGCATAACGAACCTTCTCTCGAGGGTGTTTAGGCCCCATTAGGCATAGTTACAAAAACAAATAAACAAGCATTACAATAATTTACACATAGGTAAATATTATAATGCAATAATCAAACGTGTAAGATTATAATTTGAGTTTTTAATATATAAATTATTCTGTAATGCTACTTATTTATGGACAACATAAAAAATTAGCATAAAAAGTTCCATAATTAAAACTAAAATATATATTCGTGGGCTTGCTTTAAAGCTCATACTGTGTGTACATGTTATAAATATTTCAGACATTCATGGTAAAAATGAGGTAGATTCATATTTCCAGAGGGTTTAATAAAGCAGTGTTCTGCAGATATATTGTAACATGTAAATTATCATATTCAATGTCTTGATTAATTAAGTTCCTTGTGTGAACAATCAAGATCGTACTCTGTCTATGAAAGTTGAATAGCATTAATCCCAAGTAATGACATGAATGTACAGCTTCACAACCTTAAACGCGTTATTTAACCAATCGATCTGAGACACTAATTCAAGTCTTCATCTTTTTATAGTGGTCCTTTAAGCATCTCGATAGCAGCTGCCATTACCCCCACCCCCATGTTTAACTGTGCCGTAAAAAGTTTGTGTTCTTGGGCCAGATGGCAGCTTAAGCATTTCACTTTGCTGGGCGATGTACTGAAATCCAATAGCATTTCGTGGTGAATGTATTGCAATGAAAACGGTAACAGCGTACATGGCGAAAAAAATAGGCCAATATATAAGTACATCAGTGGGGAGCAGAAATGGCAGCGTGAGTCATGGGGCAAGACAGAGGGCAACTGATTCTGAGAGAGTGGAGGAACAGAGTGCAGACAGTCCTCAGAAAAGGCAGCCCTTTTCAATCTCTTATCGAGAAATAGTTTTTATTTTATTTTGTACGCATTGTCTCCATATGGCAATAGAAATATACACCTGAAAGAGGTCAAATACACAATTGCACTTCAAGAGAGGACATCACAATTGTCCTTGCATCTTAACCGGTGGAGAAAATTTCCCCATACTTTTGGAAAATAGACATTTCTAAAAAACGTGCCTATTGTATCCATCCAATATGCCACAGCTCACCACGCTCAGAGATACTGGCACACTTCCGTTTGTGACCAACAGACCCTTTAGCAATGCGACCACACGCTGGTCCAATTCCAATGAAAAATACCACCTCGGCTCATAACTCTTTCTGATTCGAATTACCAAAAAGGACATTGGGGAGCCATGCAGGTCAGGGTTTGTGGAGGTGCCCCCCCCCCCCATCATCAGCCACGTGTTTTGTTATGTTCACCACTGCTGAATGACATTCAAAACACGGAACGCTGGCAATGCGGCGTGAGATGATGTTGAAAGTAGTGAGGATTGATCCTCGAGAAACAGGGACGCTGAAAGCCCCAAAACTTTCCAGTTTACCGTGGCTCTGTGATCGAATTGGCAGATTATGTGGCAGATTTAACGTTTCCTGTTATAGCTATAGATATTAATTTGACCCCCTGCGTGGCCCACTGGCCAATGTGCCAGGCTTAAGGTTAAGTATTAAAGGACATTCGCGTGCACAGTGAAGAGTGAAGCATGCAGAGAGATTAAAAAACCTGAGTTTCTAACATCGACAGGAGTGTAGCAAAATCGTGTAATTTAATAATTCACTTTTAGTGATGGCCTTTTCATTGCACCCAAAGCTGCTCCAATTAAATGCATAGTATATGTATCACAATAACACAATGATACCCATTAAAATTACTCCTAATGTTGTATTAAAGAGAAGGACATCACATTAAATATCAAACACTGCGTTTTGTACTAAATAAATACGCTCACACACACCGAACTGGTAAAGTAGAGCACAATTTTTCTGGGCACTTTGCTCGAGTTTACAGGCAGAACCATAAGTATGCGACTGGCATTCAAATGACCTTCTGTAATAAACCTATCTTACAACCCTTTGGGAAAGATTCGTGCTTCTGATCACTTTTTGGATATTTTTTTGCTGACGTAGCTCTATATTCGATGGTTCCAACTGGAATACAGTGAGGGAAAAAAGTATTTGATCCCCTGCTGATTTTGTACGTTTGCCCACTGACAAAGAAATGATCAGTCTATAATTTTAATGGTAAGTTTATTTGAACAGTGAGAGACAGAATAACAACAACAAAATCCAGAAAAACGCATGTCAAAAATGTTATAAATTGATTTGCATTTTAATGAGGGAAATAAGTATTTGACCCCCTCTCAATCAGAAAGATTTCTGGCTCCCAGGTGTCTTTTATCAGGTAACGAGCTGAGATTAGTAGCACACTCTTAAAGGGAGTGCTCCTAATCTCAGCTTGTTACCTGTATAAAAGACACCTGTCCACAGAAGCAATCAATCAATCAGATTCCAAACTCTCCACCATGGCCAAGACCAAAGAGCTCTCCAAGGATGTCAGGGACAAGATTGTATATACAAAATCAGCAGGGGATCAAATACTTTTTTCCCTCACTGTATGGAACCTAAAAGGGGGCTGTGTTATTATAGTCGCAAGGCAGAACAATTATGGATTGTTTTTAAATCGGGATGGACCAGCAAATCTCTTTTTAAAAGTGTAATTTCGCATTTAATTCTCATCAGGGTTGACTGAAAGACATTAACTGTTTCGGGGCTCAGCACATTTGTAGATTCTTAACGTCATTTTAATCATAATTATATGCTTAATGAGCAAGTTAAATCATGCATATGCATGGCTTCTGGAATATTTTCCTACACATATTTGCCACAGGAAATGTTTCATTGGTGACGTTATTTCCAGAGCCGCACAACAAGATTATGTTACATGCCATGACATCACTCATAATGACGTGATTTGGGGTGGGGGGGGGGGTAAGCGCATGATGTGTGACATTGCAAAATTATGCCACACGCATTGATATCATTGGCAGGGGGTGAACACATAGCATGTGACGTCATGGGACGATGTCATGGGATGACATCACATACAATGATGCCATCGAGAACCATGTGACGTCATCGCCATGTCCGACAAGTATTAATAATTATTGCTGGTGTTTTATTGGCAAGTGCTCAGGGTACGCTATTATACGGTCATACTTTATTAGAAAAGTATTTGCTCACTGGCTGTCTGGCTGGTGGGCAGGAGAGGGGAGGGAGGGGAGGGAGGGGAGTGAGGAAGGGAGGAATGGACGGACACATCCAAAGATCATGTGGGCTGCTCATCTTCCTGAAAACAATCTTCAGAATGAGCATGGCTCCCTGGCATGAATACATAAATTGGCATTCATTTTGAGGGTGTTAAATACTCTGCTTCACTACATGAGAGTGCTGATTAAATTATGTCAACTTGTTACATAAACACACGTGTTTGTTTTTTTTACACATTTAATCAGTTGTGTGTGTGTGTGTGTTTCTGACTGCTTTACGCGATAATGTGGCGGCACACATTGACGTGTCTATATTTACATTTGTGAGTGATTGCCTCAACATGTGTTATGAAAGCCGGAGTAAATAATTTTCATTCTATGCCCAATGACACACAATACGCTGAACTTAGAATGAGGGGCTTGAACTGGTGAACTTTGAATCCAGAAGCAAGTGCACTACCTCAGAGCCAACCAGCCACCTCATTGAACTCTATATGGCAATCAATCAGGAAGAAAAATTGCTTGCTGCAGCTCAGTTCAATTCCCCCAGATTCACCTTTTTTCATTGACTTATACGGTGAGGATTTTGTTATGGGTTTACTGAGGGGGAAAAAAATCACTCTGAACCACCGTGCAATTTAAGAAGCAAGCACTGGGAATGTCATTCTGGCTCAATGCAAGTAGCGTGAGAAAGTGTGACAGGAGGCAGCCGTGCAGGGTGAGGGTTCGGTTTGAACCCTGAGGGAAGAACAGCACGGCTGATGGACTGGGGAGACGGGAAATCACTGGCTTCCTTTAACAAAAATCTAATTTCGTTTGGAAGTAATAAAAGAATGCTGATGGATTATAATTCAGGTAAACCCGCGTGAGATGTTTTTTTTTTCGCTATAAATTTCTGCAATTACTCAAAAGAAAGCACAAAATGTTGTCAATCAGAGTTCGCGCGAGCATAACTTGTCCTGTCCCTGCTAATAGACCCTCAAGCAGTACAGGGAGCAGCTCAACCAGGCTGGTGGATGGTTCAGTATAGGTTTCGCATGTGTGCCTCATTATATGAATGTGGTACACCTCCTTGTGACCTAATTTTGAGCTCTGTATAGTAAACTTGCGTTCATACCTCAAACGTGCGTCCATGTTTTATAATCCCTGTACAGTATACACCAGTGGGAGAGGTGAGGGCGCTACTAGTGGTGCATGCCTGTTGCTCATTGATTGTCATACAAAAAAAAACAGTGGTTTATACAATGTGTTCTGATCCCAGTGACCTGAGTATAATTCCCGACCATGGCCAACATCAACAGTGGGTGATATCCAAACTGCGACTGGGCTTGATCCTTCATCATCTTTCACTGATGAAGCATCGTAAAAAAAAAACTCTGATGACTTGACAAAACATATACAGGCCTTCATCCAGCAGTGGATTGCCAAGGGCTGATAATTATTATTATAATAATTAAGAGCAACATTAAATGTGAGAAACTTAAAACATCCTGATATTGTTAATAACAATAAGATCACAGAGAGAACAACAGTTTGTATGAGCGATGTGGATCTCTCTATGTTGACCTGTGTGTAACTGTAATAAATTAAAAGTGCAGATGGAAACACCACAAACATCTTTAGGCTGCATCTTGAGGCATTGATCAGAATTTGTTGGCTCGAGAAGCATGTGAAATCTCACAAGATTTAAGTTAATGCTGCCCACGAACGGTTAGATTCCCCATGAGATGTTACTTCCGAGGAGATCTAAGAACAATATATCACGTAATTTTACAGGTAAAACTAGACATTTCTGTAAAAAAAAAACAATCCCAGCAAGATGGACAAGCAAAGGCATGTCTTTAAAAAAAAAGTGGTGGATAACAAGGACATAGAGATTGAGACAGTGACTGATAGGCATGGAAAAAAATAGATTCATCGGCACACCGTTTGTATTACGGACCTCTGATCTGGAGTCCGGGTCCACAGCGCTCTGGGGTGCCAACGTGCGTGCCCCCTGCACCATCACCGCTGTGCCTCAGTGAATCAGGCACCAGCTGGCAACGGCGCCACTTGTGTGTTTTCCATCTGCGCACGGAGTCGCAAGCGGCGTTTGAAAATAGGTTAAAAAAAGAAGGGAACCAAGAGATGAGCTATGCCTTCAGGCAGGTATCCGGACAAACGTATCCATTAATTTATGGATCTATGACTGCTAAATTATACATTCTTGGCCTTTAAGTTCAAATGAAGACACGTTATAATTCATCTTTCCAAGTACACTCTTTCTCGTGGTAATTGGTCATTTGTTCAGTCCGTATGTACATATACTGGGTCAATGAGGTTGCCTTTTTCCCATTGTGTAAGACTTATGTAATTTACTGAATGTAATATCCCACGGTAGAGTGGCGTGGCTATTGAATGCACTGGCAGTGCAACCGCACTGGGGCTCCCTCGGGCTGACAGGGCCGAAGGCAACAGGCTGTAAGGGGCCCATACCAACCACGCTTTGCCTCTGCAATGGTACTTTGTGAGGAGAATGTTTCGCTAATGTGAGGCTCATTGGCAAACCATCCCATAACAAGTGAATAAAAACAATAAAATAACAGAACACACGGATTATAAATATTAATCTGTTCCTGAAAAAGAGGAGGCTACAATATTCTAAGTTAAACTTACCAAGGAAATAATGTATATTTGATCAATAAAAACATACTTAGAGCATTTCAGATTGTTGGAACTTAATACGTTTTCGTAATAACAACATAAGTTTGATCATTATGCAGCACTGTGAGTTAACTGCGCTGTATCAGAAAGCAGACAAATGGATAACTGATTCAGTCACTGTCCTGGTAATGATAGAAAATCAGTTTGCGGTTATTACGATGAGCAATCGCATGAATTTCAGCAGAAAAAAGTAAATTACAAAACAAAATTGTTGATATTTATATATATTTTATTTTTTGACGGTGACGTGTTTGACAATGGATTTTGGTTTGATTAAATTGAGCGTGTGTGTGTTTGTGCATGCTTATTTATTTGATCAACAGATAAACCGAAGCTAACAAACCATCTGGCACCAAGCTGTCAGTACATGTTCTTTAAATAAAATCGTGTATTTGAATGGTGCAACTTTGAATTCAACAGTGTCTAAAGCATAGCAATTCACAAGCAGAATGGGTATGAATTGTGACCGGTTTGTAAACTCTGTATATTGTGGGATATAAAGCAATATTGAAGATGAATTTCAGGAGCCGATGCGTGAAGGCAAAACTTAAATGTAGGCATTTTAACGGTTCTCTTGCATTTTTGTATTCGAGCTGAAAATGGGACCTTTTCTTATTGCACAGTCACTGCCTTAGGGTTTACATAAGCATTTAGACAAGTGCATGAAGCAATAGAAGGGAAATGTGTTATTTTAATATCAAAATGCAAATTTGAATGGTTATTATCTGGCCACGTGTCAAAGATCATTAGTGCCAATGCGTCCGTGGATCAATTTTGACATTTTTGAAGGCGATCCAATTTTTTACCGACGAAGGCACATCGCAGAACCCACGTGCATACACAGTCCGCAGCGATCGGAGTTAAGACTCGGTGGACAATTTAAACAAGCAGAAGATGCTGCTGACTTTGATTAAAGTCACACTTTTGTTTGTCCACATTCGTTTGTGTTTGTCCTTCAGGCTGTTTCACACTTTGGGTGTCATCGTCTTGAGATGCAATTTATTTTCGAAGCTATATGAATCCATATATATAGTAATGCATCATATTTGAAATAATTTCATAACTGGATAATACCATTGGTTTCTATTGTTGTTGTTCGATCAGCCATGATTAAAATCCAGTACATTTGCTGTATTTAGTGGGAGAATCAATGTTGAAATAAAATAAACTGCAGTATTACGTGTGTAACTTGATTGTCTGTACTTCATCCAGATTAGCACGTTTAAGACAACTATACTATCAATATCTGAAAATGATTAGAAAATCAATATGCTTTAATGTTATTTTTTAACATGTTTGTACTAACTGAAATATATTTGTCCCGGGCATAGTATTGGCAGGCAATCATCACGCCCTTACCTACGTAAACCTGATATATGATGCTAACGGCATGTAAGACAGAAGAATTCATCAAGCGCACAGCAGGGATTAAAAAAAAGTCACTGAGCAGGAATGCACATTTAGCAAGGACGGTGTTTGTAGGTGTAATTCTACAAAATGATGGATGATCCAGGGATAACAGTGGTTTAGCTATGTATTACATCTACGTTAGAAAAGGTAGTTAATATAGCCAACACACAACTTACATGAGCCAACTTTTGCGAAATAAAGTTTTGGCTACCCTCAGCATGCCTCAGAATAAGCAACAATGCTAAATTAATTTAACATTTCAATATTCAACTTCCCTTTCTCGCATTATACCTATGCTGTTCCCATATATGCCTATATACCACCAGACTCAAGGACATATTATACTGTAGAAAGAACTAGACGTAACAGGAAGGTTACCTAATTCATTTTAATCTACTTGCATTATCAGCTTATGCACAGACACAGTCTAGCTTTAAAAAGTAAAAAAGAAATCTAGTAGGCATAGTAAAGTTGTGTAGCCGTTGGTGACCAAGCTGAGTCCATAACTCACTGCACATGAGAACCCTTTAACACAGCAGAGTACATGTTCATTTTATCACTTCGCCACCCTGAAGCTATGATCCAGAATATAAGGGCTGCAAGAATTGTACCTATCCATGGTTATTAACCCTATGGACCATACAGCCACCTCAAGATGACTGTTGCACCTTACGAGTCACATGTGATGATGTTGCATTAACAAGCTAAACCTAAATCCATGGTCAGAGTTCAGAGAAGAAGAGACCCAACATTTACGGGGTGTTATCAGGGTGAGTGGTAACAACACTGAGTGACATGAGCATTACACTTTAACTGCTGGGTTTTGACCTTGAGCCTTAGCATTGTAAAAAAAAATCACCTTTTTGTCCAATCCTATGTGGATTGTATGTGTAAACTTTTTTTCTCTGCTTTTAAATGGAACCAATCTTGACAAGAGCTGGACTAAAATGCTGGACTATGCCTATGACCACAACAAGCATTGCCAGGAATGATCCTGGATAGTACGTGGATGGACGACCACAATGCATTGCAGGTGTTACAGGGTGCTGCGCGAAGCAGTAGGTTAGTGGTTAGCGCGCTGTGCTACGAATCCGACGACCCGAGTTCGATTCCCGCTCACGGCCAACACCAGTGACGATTATCTGAACCGGTCTTGGACCTCCCCTAGGTCGACTCAACCTCAAATGAGCACCTGGTGCGGTGTATGAACATTGCCACGAGGGAGACAAAGGCGGGCGGGTGTAGTGTTAGCCACCCACCCGCTCGTGTACCGTGCCAGCCTTCATTGGTGCTGGCTAACTGCACTTTCTCCAACATTATCTTAAGGCTATACAGGGGATCTTTGTCTTTTTCGTTTTTTTCACGGGGCTATGCTGTGGCTGCAGAGTGCAGTGCAGGGACATTAATTGCTGTATCGCACTTATATCACCCCACGTCTTTGCTCTGTGCTCTCACCAACCCAATCTGACCTGTGTGGTGAAGTACGGTCAAATAACCACATATGACCTGCGTGCCTCGGGGGATGCCCTTAACCAGCACTTTATTTATAAAGGGCTGTACATGTACATGCTGTATGCCAATGGTCTACATCAGAAACCATGGGAAATGTATGCATGTTGAACTTCTTTCGCACAGTACGTAGCTAACCGAGCTAATGAATGTCACCTGTACTTGGGGCAGGGAGGGACATCACAGGGGCGCTCCTCATACAGAGCGTCAGGGCACTCTCGTCCACCGTTTGCTGCTCGCTGAACGACCATTCGATAGCGTGATTGCCTGGCAGGGAGCATCCCTTCTGCAGAGAAATTCACATGTTTCATTCAATCTCTCGATGCATTATCTACACCAAAGGACAGCCAAATACATGAGCAACACACACATATATGTTCCATGAAATAATATATTAAACGTTAAATATGTGCCAATAATCTTTAAAACATGCCATTATAGTTTATTACAGTAATGTAGTTTGTGAAGCCCTAATTAGTGAATATGTGACGATAATCTCCGTGCAATTTACTGTAATTGTGCACAGATATTTCCACCGCAATCTCGCCATGTAAGCCAAGTAATTTTATCAACAACCGCCTAATGTGGCAATGCAAACAGCACACGTGGCTAGGCCATGGAGGTCAGTGAAAATCGCTCTTTTGGGAAAGAAATGTTCCACTTCTTTCTTAACGCTTATTAAGCTTTTTTAAAGCGTTTATCTCCTGGAGTTGTAAAAACTTTTGAAATGCCAGCAAAGGTTACAGAGAACAACCTCCCATGTGTATTGTGTGAACTTAAAAGGTCTTTCCCGGGAAGTCTGTAGTCTGTTTAGATGGGGTTTTTTTTTTCCGGGCGGGGGGGGGGGGAGTAAAATCCTAAAGCTTAAAAGGAAGCGTCATGGTGCAATGGTGTGCAGAATACAAAGTACCTTCACTAACAATCCTGCACTGCGGCTACTTTAGAATAAATATACACGAGGTGCAACATTTTTTTTAAAGATTTGATAATTACTTAAATGTACTGGACTATCATGGATATAAACATAGACATGTTAATTTGCATACAATGATGAACTTTTAAACAGATAAACACAAATTTTCGCAGAAGCTATCTTGGCATCTTTAAATGGAGATGTAGATGAAGAAAACCTAGCCTCCAAGCAGACATTTATCAATAATATATGACGGAGTAGCCTCTGAGTGACCTTACCCTTTCACAGAAGGTTACTATTTCCACATTTTCCCCATTTATTTTTTGATACTGAGAATGGTAATATGAGGATAATCATATTTATCATTATGATAATGTCATTGTTCATATTATGCTGTGAAGTGACATTGCAAATGTTTGTGGCATTTGTTAGGTATCTATTATTATCCATGCCAGTCCAATGTAAGTGATCCAACTTTATATTGTGATGCACCTGTGATTTTATTTGATACTGGGTTTGTATCAAGGCCGTAGACACAATGTATATATGTATGATGAACTTCTTTCACACCATACGTAGCCAACCGTGTGAATCGGAGGTTCGTAGCCACAAGACTGCCACAACACTTCTACATTCCATATGGGCATACGTTGAATCCCAAGGTGTACACACGCTGTGTGTAAATACAATAACATTAAACACTGAATCAACAGTAGTATCATGATTGTTAACCCTGAGAAATGCTCAGCAATGCAGTTACCCTTTTCTCGTGGTGATATCTGGTTTGTCCCATTATTTTTCACTGAGAGACAATTATAGCCGACAAGCATAATAATAATGTATCTGTTTTTACTTCACTCACTGCACCAGTGATAATTTTTATATTTGGTTTATCTCTTCGGCATATTCTGTCATGATCAATCTACTGCTGAATAAAGGTCTCCCCAGGCCAATACCATATCTCATGGTCCTGTGATCTAAAAATATATCGAGCTTCTGCACACATTAATTTCATCATTTCATCTCTGCGGTGGGCATCCTGTCAACTGTACAGTATTCAAAATACCACATTACAATCAAAGAGTACAATTTTTACAGAAAATTGTACAAATAATAACCAAAAAAATAATGTTAATTTGAATTAAAATATATATTTTCGTTTAAATATGCTTTTCTTAACCCCCACTCACATCTACCATTGCTGCAAAATTAGTGCAGTGATTCATGTGCTGTCAAAATCAATGTTAAAATTTACATTAGTATAAAAATGACCATTGTTCGGTAATGAATATTATTGCGTGTAATGGATACTGTGGGACCTGGTGTCTTACCATGCAGGCACGTGAGAGAACAGGGAGTCCAGTCACTATAGGGGGTGACGACACAGTCCTTCCTGCACAGCACCAAGCATCGGCGTACGGGATCTGGGCGCAGGTTCTCCGGGCACCTGGGCATGGATGAGACAAATGAAATACAGACATGCACGTTACATTGTCTTTACTGAATTAAATAAGGTGGAGGTTATCTGGTATTGATGTGATTTTTTGTTAATCCTCTAAATTCTTTTTGGTTTATTTTCCCCAATTGATTTGTATTGTGATATTGGTGCCATATTCTATCCTGAGATGATAATCCAATTGGAAATCTTAGACAGCAGAGTGTTCCCGTTTGTCGGATAAAGATGCAGACATTTTAAAAAGGAAACTCCTACAAAAAAATCTTTAAGTGGCCTTTTTTATTAATTATAAGCTTGGGGTCAAATGCAGGAATTTAATCAACCTAAATGGCAAGCATAATTGTACTTTTTTTTGTCACGCAGTTATTGGCGACCAGGCTGAAACCATCACTCTATTATGCCTGTGAACACAGCTTATTCATGGCTGGCAGCCCAGATTCAGACCCAGGTTCTCAACGGTACTGCCTCGTCGCTCTGACATTTGAGCCACCCAGGCCACAGTCTGGAAATCATGTTTAAAGAAAAATGCAAATTTAATGCAAATACACAGCAAGCATCTGAGCCATTGATCTGTGCACGGGCTATGAAAATACCGTCGTTATAAATGTTCTGTTTTGTGAGAGATAAAAGTGCGAGACGCACAGTGTGGGATGCGCGAGCCTCGTTCGAAGTGCTCGGTCTGTCCCTGAAAAAATAAAGTCACCCTTCCCATAATTAAATCACATTGAGTGGTGTGCATCTGTATTGGTGGTTCTGAGGCAGTGTTGGCAATTCCAAATTACCACGGTTGGAACAGGTTGCTCCATATGACATTCAATGGCGTCTCCGCACTGAGTGATACTTATTCTATTGACCATACATTTGATTGTGGTTTGATTCCAACCCTTCATCGGATGAAGCTTACCACAGTTGCTGGCAAGCACTTATTTCATGGTGCAGCACCGGAGGTGGAGGGTGCAGTGACTATCGAATCAGGTCACACCTGCGATGTTGAGGCAAGGTCACATGGAAGACTTGATAGCTGCACTGAGCATGGGAAATTTGCATATATGGATGGGTTGGGGGTTTTTATTTTATTTCAAGGAGTGTAAATAAAGTACCACTCAGTCTGGAGATGACATTGAATGTCATATGGAGCAACTTGTCCCAACCCATGGGAATTTGGAATTGCCAACACTGCCTCAGAACCCCCAATGCAGATGCACACCACTCAATGTCATTCAATTATGGAAAGGGTGACTTTATTTTTAAACCGGTGAATCTACCAAACTTGTAAATATTTTATGTTACAGTACTTACCTTTACTTATATTATCGACTACAGCCATGTGTATAATTTCATTACGTGGCCATATAATTAAAACACTCCAGCTGGGGACTGTACAAACAACTGCCATTATCGCGTTAATCATGCTGTTGGCCTCTGGGAAATTAAGCAACAATATGAGCCTTTGGTTGCCTGCCAACCCACCCTGTGTCACAATATTGTTCTGTGACAATGCAGTCAGCATTCCGTTTCTCTAAAATAAGGCACTGTTTTGTGGCAATTGATCACAAACACATTCTGCATTTTCATATTGTGCCAGACCATTGGGATAATACGCTTTGGTTTTAATCGGTAAATTCACGTAGATAAAATAAAACAAAATAAAAGAAACAATCACGACGTTTTGGTGGCAACATAAGCTTCCTTCTTCAGGTGGAATAGTCAACGCAGAATATCTGTGTCAGAGGCACAGTTCAGAGACGACCGGGATTATATACAGGTTAAGGGGGGGGGGGGGGGGGGGGGTGCGTAAGAGGGCGTGGGTGGGTGGGAGGGCTGGGTTAAGCAGCCCTTTGATAGACTGCTGGGGCAACAACTACTTCGCACTGCACGAGAGTGGGTAAAACCCACCTTTTGTTATGCTGCGTGGGGGGGAGGGAGAGACATGTTGCATGTGTACATCTCCATTTTTTGAAAGCGGCAGCGAACGGCTGTTTAATTATAAGTTAAAGTTTGATATACAACTACTAAGAAAAGGAAATGGCTGTACCAAAAAAATTGAAAGGCATCTAACGTTTGACTTGATTTAAAACATATTTCCAGTGATTGCTCAATTTTAAACCATCCTCCCGGTTGAAGTTGTGTCTGTGTTTGTAAATCTGGATGGCCTCGTGGACAAATCTCTGATGATAACCGGTAGGTTTGCAGAGAACCTTGGTATCAGAGAAAACAATATCACGATCACCCACAGCGTTGTAACAATGATCAGCCACGGCAGAATAATTAGTTCTGCCGTGTTTCAAATCTTATTTGTGCTCGCGAATTCGGTCAATCCCTTGGTAATGTGATTTAAAAAATAAACTCTGTTTGAAAACCATTCAAATCCAGTGTTGTGATTAAATGTTAAATTACAAATAATCATTTGCCATCCCAATACAATGTCTATTTATCTTAAAACAAATTTTTATGAAAATACTTATTTATATAAATAGATATCTGACGAAACACATGCTCTTTACAGTTTCTCAATTTGAAATAGCACTTAAAAAAGAGCGCAATTATGTTATAAGAAACAAGCTTTGGTACGTGACAATATTTTGGTAATGCCTGTAGAAGCATAAAAAAGAGATTTGTGAGGATAGACGAAATTGAGCAATAAAGAGAACACCCTCCAAAATGTGTCCACAATCATTCCATACACCTGCTCACACACAGCAGCGGCAGCAGCAACAGCAGCCCATGAGAGACTCAACAGGTGCAAATCAGGTGTGGGAAAACTCGTGTTTTCAAGGGCTTTTAAATTCTACTGGAGAAAGAGCTCACACTGACCATAATCCACCGCAGGTGAGAGCATGTATTTTCATCTGCATGTTTGACCACAGCTAAGTGAGACTTGAGAAACTGCTTATTTAAAAAAAAACTTACGTTATTTCGTATATATTTGTTTTATGCCACACACAAACCACAACTACACCTAATAATATATATCATTGCTCCCCTTTACATTAAAGTAACATTTTACTTGCTTATACAATTTTTTATAGTACACAAATGTCTCATTATTGATGGAGCAGTAAAAAAAATATATTCAGCTGGTGAAAAGGTGAAAGGATTTTCCAGAAAACCTGTTTCCAGTGATATTTTCCTGAAAAGAAAATTAACATTCACAGCACGTCTGATTCCCCAGTGGCCAAATTGTGTTTGTATCTCAGCAGGAACCAACACACAGATATATATATAAAAAATTAAAATTATTATATGACAAAGACAAAGATCCCCGTATAGCCTTAACATACTGTAGGAGCAAGTGCTGTTGGCGAGCACCTATGAAGGCTGGCACAGCACACGAGGGAGTGCGTGGCGAGCACCATGCGTGGCCACTTGTCTCCTGAGTGGCGATGTTTACTACAAACCGCACCAGGTACTCATTTGAGGCTGAGTCGACCTAGGGGATGGGGCAGCCAAGGACCGTTTCAGATAATCGTCACTTGGTGTTGGCCATGAGTGGGGATTGAACACCTCTCACTTTTATTTGGCTTCCTACACACATTTAAAAAAAACATTTCACATAGCAGATATTCTAACTGTTAAATTACAACAATATCTACGACTTGTTATATCGTCAAGCAGTGAGCAACGTTTAACAATAATAGCCAAGGTTACTTATATTTACTCCCGTGTGATTTGTGTACGTTGCTAAAAAGCCTTGCTGGGTCTGTAATCATTCTGGGAAATGTAGCATTGCTGCCAGTGCATAACATAGGCTGGGTAAAACAAAATTGGTATTTAATGATATGGGTTATAAACTTTCCATCTTTTCTGGTGTGCACAAGAAATCCTATTAAGATATGGCTTGTTGAGCCAGTTGATTAAGATCAGCTGTGTCTTTTGTAGTGTTTTATATAATTTAACCATGCATTTGAATTGTTAATGTCACTCACGTGGTCACCAATAAGTAGTCCTCTTATCTACAAAACAATGATGAATCTGTTAATAATAATAAAAAATACCCCCTCCCCATCTCCTTTGAGCTGGATAATAAATTACTTTTTTCTCTTGAATCATCATGCATAATTATCTGCTCTGTACCAATTCAAACATTGCCCAGAAATATGAAAGTGTTTCCTGAAAAGCATTGGGACATTTTACATTTGCACTGGCACAGGTAAAAGTAATTCCACGTTGACCAATGAATCTCATCACGGATATTGCTTAAAGGCTGTGCTGTATGTCTCCGGCTGGCACGTCTCTCAATCAACTTGATAAACACTTCGGGGATGGCATCACGTTTGCACCAGTGAGCCTTCAATGCCACAAAGCCTGACCACCCCTCAGCAAAGGATTTTTTTCAAAACCAACAATTCCCCCCACCCCATCTGCTGATATTTCCATTATGGAGTCGAATGACCACAAGAGTCTTATGGCATGAAATGAAAGTAGCTAGGAAGGCTAACGTGCTCTGACAGCCTCATTTTTCATGCAATATGCTGCGCGTTGTTCAATGTGCAGGGTTTGAGTCGGAGCCTTCTTTTCGCTTCCGGAGCCCAAAAATTCCGAACCATTATAATTAGTCTCATATATATGCTTGCATGCACCGTTACAATAGAAACCATCGCAGAATTGGTGTTTTAATATCGGAAGAGGCCACCGCATGCTGCAGTGGGTATAAATTCTATTTATTTATCACATACAATATTATGCCTCATTACTTTTCAGCCTTTAAAGCAGAACATCAGGCTTTCCAGTTAATACAATTAGCGCTGATATGCATACCTTTAGAACACGAAACAAAGATTGTTTTAAAAGTGCATGAGTACAAAACATGCAGAAAATAACAGCCATTCAATACTGGTTGCATGATATTTTAAGTTTATGCAATTAATGTTTCTTCAACTATGATTTCAGATAAGAAAATTAAGGGTATTCATTTAGGTTTGTTGATACAAGAGATAGGAGCTGAAAGAGCTATGGTGCATTATTGAGTAAGTAAAAAAAGATGTACACAATGTAAATAAAATGTTACAAACATGTATGATATATATAGTGCAGCAACGCTTGATTGTTGTAATATAAGGCAGTGACCTTCACCTCAAATTGCGAATTCTCAAAGAGCACAAGTGTTTTTTGAGTGACACTCGTGACAAAGGACACATGACACATGTCCTTTGTCCTTCTACTGATAATTAACCCCAGTGAGTCGTGGGGGTGGGGGGGGTTATTTAGCCATACTTCACCACATTAGTGGTTGGCGAAGTGCAGGTTTGTTAAGGTGGTGAGAACATGGCTGGAAGGATAGAAGTACAGTAGAGCAATGGAATTTGTGGCATCAAAGCATCCCCGCAGCCTAGAACACCTGTTACGTATGGTAGTTGGCCATCAAGGAGCTAAATCAGATTCAAACAAACTTGGCATCTGAGATCTAAAGACATCTGGTCCATTCTAGACAACCTATATGTGTAAACAACATACACACACCATACCTGCAACACCTGAAGTATATCCACACAAAGCCACTGCGCGATTGAAACATGTTCGTACAAAAAAAATAAGATCATTGCTAAAAAAAACATCTTATTGTGTGTGCAGACATATGCATCGATTATAAAGCAAGGTTATTTGTCAACTTAATTTTACTATCCAGTTGCATCCCCTCACTTTTCACAATATACGCTGCTGCACTCAAGATTCGAAAATACAATGGAAACAATAACTTCCATTTTAATCTGCAGAATAATCTAAACACACTTGGGAACAGGAGACGACAATGCTCAGAAAATGAAGTAATAACAGACGGTGGTTGAAAACAAAATAAAAAAATATATAAAAAGCATATAGGTCACGTGGCTCCTGGAGCTTGTGAAGCGAAGGTAATTTAACAGTCTGCTTCTTATCGACAATGGAAACAATATCAGAACACATGTGCACGAGCAGTACCTAAATGTAAGCGTTCAGTGCATTCACACAGACTCAGATTAACAATGATAGTATATGTGAGGGTACAGCCCTGGGGGGAGGGGGTAAAGCTATCACTCCACGACATTCTTGTGCAGCTTCAGAGCACATGTGTTAACAGTGTGTAATGGTAGAATATAATCGATACATGTGAGATTGTGCTCTTTGGATTTATATGCCTCGCTGACCTGAACATTTGGCACCAATCCCATACTTTGGAGAAATGATTTGACTGTAATATAACAACAATAAAGTGGGCATGAGTTCAGTAAACCTACACATAATATAAACATCACCTGCACTACCATTGCACCCATACCGACAATAGTAACGTATAGTAGCATGGGGTTAATGTATATACGTTAGTTTTTATTTCCTGGAAAGTATTAAGTACACGTAAAAAATTAACTTTTTTTTATGAAAACATAGATTTACTTCTATATATTCAAATTAAGAAAGCATGTCACTTTAAAAAAGTAACGTTTTTAAAGCACAAATTAACTTAACCTTTCTTCTACAACATCGGATTGATTTTGATCAGAGTTTTTTTTATAAACACATTTTATGACACTATCATCCGTTTGAGCACTGTGATGTAAAACCGGGACAAGGCCACCATAACAGACACTGCACCGAGCTCAATCTGAATATTAGGCCTCGCTTTAGCGCTCACGTTGAAAACCTGCTTTCCGAACGTGGCCATCGACATGTTCATCAATTTATTAACTCCGCCCCCCCCCCCCCCAGTCGAGCCTAACTCCAAAACCAAAACACCTGAACCCTGCGAGCATTATGCACATGTGCAGTGACACCCCTATCATCACAATATCCGCAATGATGTGAGAAACACAACCTACGCTGAGCCCGGCATAGCCTTGACACACACTGACGTACCAAGCCTGGTCCACAGAGGAACTCTTTGTAGAATATAACTAAGGATGTCATTAAGCCTATAGTCAGATTCCACTGTTAGAGGAGATACAGTTGAAGAGCTCTGATCCTCAATCTCAGATTTCACCGTGGCTGCCATGAAGTCTAGGAGGATCAGGAAAGGGCCTCACAGATACTTTGCCGTTGGTCGGCAGGCAGCTCGCCACCCTCCTGATCCTCTCTACTTTCTCGAGTAGAAAAAAAATGCTTTCCCCACCTCTCTGTAAAACACCTCTCCCAATTGTTTCAACTGCTGGTAAGATGTCAGGGAACAACTCGGAAGATTGACAACGAAAATATGGTCTCCAAGATTCAAGTATAACTATGGAAATTGACCGCTTGAGGTGTTTCTTAGGTGAACCCCTCATCAGCAGATGATCTATGTATGGTTATACGTGAACTATCCTTCCCCTGAAGGTTTGTCACCAAGTGAATCAGAACTTTTTGAAAGGCTGGTGTGAACTCGTGACAGACAGACCAAAAGGAAAGGAGTACATTGAATTTGTTGGTGATATCAGCAAACCTCGAGAAGGAACTGTGACGCCTCCCTCTAAGCGTCTCCATCAAGTACCCACAAAAAGGTGCAGATTTTGACTTGGAGGACACAATCTCTATTTTCCGTCTCTTTAATCACCTTCTTCAACCTCTCAGATTCCTCCTTATTTCCCCCCTCCAGTGTACTTGGAATCAGGAGGATTATGTATACCCATTTTGTGTACCATGTGATGTCTCCATGAGAAAAAAAATGCTCTATTGGGATTCTGTCCCTAAATCATCACTAGATCAACATTGACCACCTTCCCTTGGTGATCTTCTAGCCCTTGATGAATTCTGAGTTCAAGAAGAAGAAAAACTGGAAGATAACTCTCATATTGCTCTTTTATGAGCCTTCCCCTTGGACTTTTTAATTATCCCTTTCTTAAACATGAAACGTAAATCACAGAGAGATGAGATTCTGTTAGCATCCTCTGGGCCATAATTTATCTTTCTCTCGTCAATAATTGTTGCCTCAGATCAAAGCCTCAAATTGCTGGGCCTTTTTACCTAGGTATGTCTGTAAGTGATCGACTTGGGCCCTAGTCAATTATATAGGCTCCTCCTCAGCCTCAGAATCTTAAGAACTGCCCTGTGAATCCCCCTCTTGAGAGGGTGACTCACCCAACCACTCAGGGTCATCGTAAAATGGTCCCCTAGTTAATGCCCATCCATCTCTCATGAATGATACACCTACTAAAGATGCATAAGTAGACTGTGAGGGAACTCGGGGTAAGTGAAGCCCCCCTCTGCCGAAGGTGACTGACCTTGAGCTAGCAGAGGTAGTTGGTGTTTGGCCTCCTGACTTGTAGCTGTTTGACTCGGGTGAAGCTGTGCGTCTGCTCGGAATCAATTTGGTACCTGCTGTTTTCCTGTATATTTGCACTCATTTTGGCACGTAAAATGAGCCATCTGAGCTTGCACCTGCGGCCTAACCGACTCCAGCCTCTGTTCTCCGTGTTGTGAGGCATGCTTCTTCCCTCTAAGCGCTCTCTTTTGTCGGCAGTGCTGTACACATTTCAGAATCCTGGGTCTAACAATCATGCAGGAAAAACATCATCTGTGGGCATCGTACGTCCTCAGAGATGTATCACAGTCTGAACAAAAGCCGGGATGAGCAGTCATCGCATGATCCAGGGCACTTGAATTCGCGAACCGTGTAAGCCATTTCCTTCAGCGAGTGGCTTCCCTAGCACCTGCAACTGATGTTGAAGAATGTGTCGAGCATTGATTGCTTGGGCGCAATTTTAAATGGGAAGTCTCCCAGCGCGAACATCTTTGAAAGACTCTCACGGTATTGGAACCGCAGGAATTTATGGTGATCGGGATCTAGAAATTTTAAAACTGACGTCACTGTGCAGGGCGGGATGTAAGGTGTCACTGAACATGCACATAATGCCCCCAGGCCGTGAGTGTGTGTTTGAGTGTGTTTCTTTGTCGGGTTCTGGAGGTCGGCTGCATCAGAAATCGAATTTCAGGAATGTGGGAATGTATACCTTCAACAGTAGATATTATATATTTCATATCGTGGTATTTTTTTATTGTTGTCAGATGTTTCCAATGAATAGAATGAATAAATAAGCTCTAAATACCAAATAATAATAATATTGAATATGCTTTGCACACATACTTACTCAATTATATATTTGAACGCATTACAGATACACAGATGGAATTCGCGTTTCTGCGTGCGAGGCAGAAAGACGGTGTGTGTGTGTGTGTGTGCACCCAAGATGCTGCAAACCTAAATGTAGCGTAACTCACGGGTTCTGCTCAGAATAAGATTTCCCCCGCCCGTCCATTCCCCACCCCATCGATGGCTGCGTGCTCACTTCTTGGCGCTGACTTGCCCCACGTTGACGCGAACGCATATGACCTTGCGTGTCTGCACGCCAGGAGCGCAGGCCGTTTCTCCAGTCGATGCGGCCGCCCCCTCCGTTGCGTTCTGCTGCACCCCGAGGCTGGGCTCCTCGGCGCAGGGTCCCCAGGGCCCCGCCTGCCAGTGGTAAACGGTGCAGGCGTACTCGTTGCACGGTCGCCACTCCTGGAGGCCAGGCTCACCAGGGCAGTCCTGTCCGCCTGCGGTGTTTTCAAAATCGGCGGTCGTTAAAATAAAATAAAAATTAAGCCGGGGACCCCAAAAAAAACCCCGGTGTCAATAACAACCTCTACGTGCTTTCAAAGCGTCAGGTTGATGCCTGCAGCATCGAGCAAATGTGCTCTAGTGGTGACGCGCATCACTGTTTTTTAAACGATCAATGCTAATGCTTTCATTTGCTTAAAAGCCACGAATGCAAATGTGCCTTTGTTATGGGGGCTAATTAGTAAATCTGTCCATGAGGCTTATGTATATTTTCATTTGAATTATTTTGGAATGCATCGTAATGCACTTAGCATATCAGCTGTTTTACATGTGAATGTTTTTTTTAAATATATATATCTGACAGCACTTATATTAATTGTCTATCTACTTTGTGTGTGCAAATGTTGTGTGCATTAGTATTTACTTCCAACAAACCTGGATGCGATATGAAAATTGTTCAGCACAACAAATGAGTTATACTTAATTCGCAGATGACACCTATAGCTGTCAAGTTGAGCCGCAGGTGCACAAAAACGCATACCCCAAGGTCACTATTTAGGCAATTAAGTAACCTGATTAAAGAGGTGCTTTAATACAAGTACTAGAAGTTATAGCAGATGTCCCATGAGAAAGTAGTAAGCACATACTGTAATTGTACATGGCACATCAACGATGCAACATATTTCATGTCTAAATTCAAGTTTCAGACTCAACACAAACACATTCGTCTTACTAGTTTTTTTCCATGTACTTAAAAAAATATGTAATATAATTGAAGTTATATCTATGGGACCGTTTTGCCAGTATCCAAAATGATCCATAATAGAGGTTTTTTGGGTTAGACCGCATAAATATATAAATGTGCCGTAAAAAAGCACCAGCACCCGACACAGCCAACTGGTAAGGGTTGTCACGTAAACAGAACGTGGCCAATTCGTCACTAGAGCCAAGCCACAACATTTACAATCTGAGTACGACGCTTTGCCAATAATTACAACTGGCTTCATCAGGCGACAGCCAGATTTGTGGAGAAGTGTAACTGTTTCGTTCCTTATACAGACGCGTAGATGTGGTGACCACGCTTCTGCGCTCTTGTGCCCTTGGAACTTGTCCTTCCTGTCTATTGTGTGTATTAAAATAGCCGTACCAACGGTAATCCCTATTAAAGTAAGCTTCCCTTTGTAGGCATCCATTTAAATAATGTATTATTTGATGATTCGCTTCCACGCAGCATTAAGCCGGTAGCTATCCGAACGGTAAAAGTTTTTTTTTCTTTCAATTTCGATAGATTCTCTAATTAGTCTTGGCTAGTAGTAGCTAGTTTTGCACAGAACTTCAACATTATCCAAATCAATTGAGTGTCCTTGTTTGCAAGCGTGTTTTCCTACTGTTGACAGTTGTATTTGGGAGAATTTAATACTTCTCTGATGTTCTTTTAGTCTCGTGCTGATCATTCGTCCTGTTTGCCCAACATAACATTTACTACGCGTGCAGTTAATCTTGTACACACCTTCTGTTGATAGCTTCGGTAACACATCTTTTGTACCAGATATTAATTTCTGTATTTTATGTACCGTGCCAAATCTGACTCGGATGTTTTATTTTTCCAAACATCTGGCGAGTTTATCAGTTATTCCTGCAGTGTACGGTATTTTGATCGTTTTAATTACTGGGTCAGTTTCAATGCTCGTGTTATTTGATTTGGTTCTGGCAATGCTCTGTTGATTTGTGCATCATTGTAACCGTTCATTTGCAGCGCTTCATTAACATATTGAATTTCGCTTCTCAGACGGTCACCATCTGACACTTTCTTAGCTCGATGAATGAGCGTCTTGATAAGAGCAGCTTTCTGTGCAAGGTGATGGTGTGACTGCATTCAGATAGGTGTCAGTATGCATTTTCTTTCGGTAAACACTGTGTGTTATTTTACTATATCGTTGGTACGGCTATTTTAATACACACAATAGACAGGAAAGACAAGTTCAAAGGGCTCGCATAATGCACATGAATAATGTACGTTGACTCAGTACTCCCCCCCCTCCCCCCCAGTTTGCACAAAAGCGCAGAAGCGTGGTCACCACATCTACACCTCTATATAAGGAACGAAACAGACCTCCACTAATCTGGCTGTTGCCTGATGAAGCTAGTTGTAACTCATAGTATAGAGTTAGACTAAAAATGTTAATATAAATTGTATTAAGATTGTTATTGTGATCAAACATCAAAATGGGACTTTTTTGCACATTTTTGTACGCAGCATAAACAAATGGTGCTTTTTCTGGAAGATTTTATTGTTTTTGTAGGGGATGTTTACATTTGCGTACAGTAAATTTTAAATGTATCTTGTAATTTTATTGTTTGTTGCGGTTGCATCAAGAGCCAAATGGCTCACAGGGTTATCCCAAATAAATTAAACTGAAACTGAATTACTGGCAAAGCGTCGTACTCAGATTGTAAATGTTGTGGCTTGGCTCTCCAACACACCGGTGTGCTGTACAAGTGACGAATTGGCACGTTTTGTTTCCGTTTGGAATTGATAAAAGCTACCATACTGCCTCTACTTGACTACTGTGACATCGTGTATAAATCAGCCCCAAGTACTGTACTGAAGAAGCTTGATTCCATCTATCGCTCGACCTTAAGATTTGCAATGAACTGCCCATATAGGACTCACCACTGTGATCTCTACATTGGGTCAAACTTAACATCTCTTAATGTTCGACGGCTTGTGCACCAGATTTTATTTATTCACGATCTACTTACAAAAAAATCCGCAGACTACCTACTGGATCTCCTCTCTGTTTCAAAGAACAAATTTGACCTCAGGTCTTCGCTCATTTACCAGCTTCACATTCCCTATTGCTGTACAAAAACCGGAGGAAGGGCCTTTGCTATTGATGCCCTTAAGGTCTGGAATGCTATTGCCAATAAACTGCAACTTGAATCACTACCTATGAGATCTTCACTCAAAACTGCTCTAGAGGAGTTGTACACCCCTAGCTGCCACTGCTATTCAGTGGCCTAAAATATGGCTCTAGGGTTTGGTGTTACATGTTATTTATATAGTTTATTGTTAAAAATTCGGTCACAGTCTCTATGATCACTGTTACATTGCATTTATGGCTTTTATTTTGGTGATTTCGAAAAGTTTCTTTGGTTTGGCCATGTTTTGTTTATTGTACTACGGAGCTAGACTGATGGCTTTAATCTTAGTTGTATTGTGGTTGTTGTTGTTTGACTTGTATCCCACTGGGATTTTTGCACACAGCGTTGGTGTACGGTGCTATTTCAGGAATATTTTGATGTTTTTTTTCCCTGGACTTTCTGTTTGCACAGTCACATAATAACTTTAAGATGTTTTCTTGTTCATGTTTTTGTTTGTTGTGGTTGCACCCGATTCAAGAGCCAAATGGCTCACAGGGCTATACCAAATAAATGGAAATGGAACTTTAAACGTGACAACCCTTACTAGTTGGCTGTGTCGGGTGGTGGCGGGTTTTAACGACACATTTATATATTTACGCGATCTAACCCAAAAACCTCTTATTATGGATGATATTGGTTGCGAAAGCCTACGTGTTCATCCAAAATTATGAAAAATAATTTAAGTTAATGCACTGCCATCTGCTACCCACAACATAGCCTTGCAGCCTATATCACTTGGTATGTACAGAAGTGTCCCACACAAGCACTATCCAGGCTCAATCCTGCTTCTGACCACAGACAAGATCTGGTGCATTCTGTGTGATTTCATTCATATCCCTTTATTCATATTCTGCTTGATGAAAACCTCCCCACTCCACGTTGGTCATGGGGATTGTTGTTATTATTATAGACAAAATAATCAACAAAACAAAATCGAGAGTACAATTTCATTTCATCTTGTGTTACGTGTAAAATGTTCCATTGAAACATGGTTGTGTTTTCATCATCATATCCTGTTTAGATTTTTTAAATGTCATTAGTGCAAAAATATGGCCCTGGGTGTGGGGGTTAGTTGTTATGAAGCATATTGGAGAGGCATATATGATCCCTACAGCAATTTATGCTTATTTAGTCTTGATACCACAGCACAATAGCCAAGTCATTCAATGAGAGGTATTGTTATTTATGAACCCACAAACAATCATGCTGCATTTCCCAACAAAAGAAGTCACCTGTGCACATTTGAATGGCTCAGTGAGACAGGACAAGGCGTGACATTATTTTCAAATTGGTATCTTTTGACAAAGAGCATGAAAAATGGCGTGCTGTGGTCATGACAATTAAAGGACATATCTCTCAAAATGTAACATTTACAATGAGAATTTAAAATAACAGCAGAGCAATTGTACGATTGTCATGTCACATTACAAAGGGGTGTCTAAAAGGGGGAAAAATACTTTCGATTATAAATTATCGAAGTGCCTCAAGATATACAAATGAACAAATATTTGCTCTGTGTGTGGGGAGAGGAGTAACACAGTGGTCTCTGCACCCAGTGAGATGAGTTGAATTCTTGATATTTGAACTGGTCCTGTGCCCCTTTTGTGAGTCTGCACTGACGAGGAAGGTGAAATATAGTCAAACAGCACCCCAACTAGCATTGTGTGGGGAGGCGTTTATCCAGAAATGCACAGAAATGTGATGTATATCGCTTTGTAATAATTTAAACTTAGAATATCAATAGATGTAAGAATAGAAAAACATACAGTGAGGGAAAAAAATATTTAATCCCCTGCTGATTTTGTACGTTTTCCCACTGCCAAAGAAATGATCAGTCTATAATTTTAATGGTAGGTTTATTTGAAGAGTGAGAGACAGAATAACAACAACAAAATCCAGAAAAAACGCATGTCAAAAAGTAATAAATTGATTTGCATTTTAATGAGGGAAATAAGTATTTGACCCCCTCTCAATCAGAAAGATTTCTGGCTCCCAGGTGTCTTTTATACAGGTAACGAGCTGAGATTAGGAGCACACTCTTAAAGGGAGTGCTCCTAATCTCAGTTTGCTACCTGTATAAAAGACACCTGTCCACAGAAGCAATCAATCAATCAGATTCCAAACTCTCCACCATGGCCAAGACCAAAGAGCTCTCCAAGGATGCCAGGGACAAAATTGTAGACCTACACAAGGCTGGAATGGGCTACAAGACCATTGCCAAGCAGCTTGGTGAGGTGACAAAAGTTGGTGCGATTATTCGCAAATGGAAGAAACACAAAAGAACTGTCAATCTCCCTCGGCCTGGGGCTCCATGCAAGATCTCACCTCGTGGAGTTGCAATGATCATGAGAACGGTGAGGAATCAGCCCAGAACTACATGGGAGGATCTTGTCAATGATCTCAACGCAGCTGGGACCATAGTCACCAAGAAAACAATTGGTAACACACTACGCCGTGAAGGACTGAAATCCTGCAGCGCCCGCAAGGTCCCCCTGCTCAAGAAAGCACATATACATGCCCGTCTGAAGTTTGCCAATGAACATCTGAATGATTCAGAGGACAACTGGGTGAAAGTGTTGTGGTCAGATGAGACCAAAATGGAGCTCTTTGGCATCAACTCAACTCGCCGTGTTTGGAGGAGGAGGAATGCTGCCTATGACCCCAAGAACACCATCCCCACCGTCAAACATGGAGGTGGAAACATTATGCTTTGGGGGTGATTTTCTGCTAAGGGTACAGGACAATTTCACTGCATCAAAGGGACGATGGACGGGGCCATGTACCGTCAAATATTGGGTGAGAACCTCCTTCCCTCAGCCAGGGCATTGAAAATGGGTCGTGGATGAGTATTCCAGAATGACAATGACCCAAAACACACGGCCAAGGCAACAAAGGAGTGGCTCAAGAAGAAGCACAGTAAGGTCCTGGAGTGGCCTAGCCAGTCTCCAGACCTTAATCCCATAGAAAATCTGTGGAGGGAGCTGAAGGTTCGAGTTGCCAAACGTCAGCCTCGAAACCTTAATGACTTGGAGAACATCTGCAAAGAGGAGTGGGACAAAATTCCTCCTGAGATGTGTGCAAACCTGGTGGCCAACTACAAGAAACGTCTGACCTCTGTGATTGCCAACAAGGGTTTTGTCACCAACTACTAAGTCATGTTTTGCAGAGGGGTCAAATACTTATTTCCCTCAATAAAATGCAAATCAATTTATAACATTTTTGACATGCGTTTTTCTGGATTTTTTTGTTGTTATTCTGTCTCTCACTGTTCAAATAAACCTACCATTAAAACTATAGACTGATAATTTCTTTGTCAGTGGGCAAACGTACAAAATCAGCAGGGGATCAAAAACTTTTTTCCCTCACTGTACATAATAAAAACAAATTCTCAAAATTCTTAAATGGCCCACAAATTACTTGATTGGTTAAAAACTCTTAAAACATCGCCCCTTACTGGAAGACTTTAACTGTCATTGAAACGTAGTGCCTTCATGATAGTATATGTACCACAACAACAGCATGGATACAAAATGTATTCACTCTAAGAATTACATTGAATACCATCTACTATGAGCATTTTCATATTTTCTTTAAAAAAAACAATAAACTCTTTTACATTTAACAGACACGCATGTATATCCATAATAAAAAAAAACCGCATGTATATTTAATGCACACATATTTAGACAGACAGGATTACATATGCAATTTAAACGGTTCCTAGGTAATAAATAATACTTTGCACATTTGTGCGCTTTTAGTCCTGCCTTGGGTGCAACTCATTAGCACATAACCGACCGTCTTATCCTCCCATAAATCAACACTTCATTTGTGACGTCTTTGTAAGTATTCATTATTATCCCAATGTGCTTCAGCCACTCTATCCACAGGGATAGCTTATTAAAGAACCGTTTTCGCACTTGTTATTGGGCAGAGAGCAGAGCGCTGGGGGTTGACACTTAGTAACATGTCTCACTGTGTGGGCTAACAACTTTTTTTAATGAAATTAAGAGCAATGTTTGAAAAAAGGACCATGTTTTTTTTTCCTTCCCCCACCAGTATAATCTGCAGAGAAATGCATTATCCCCGTGTGCACTTGATACGTCAAAGTCAGCCCCCATTTGAGATTGACCCAAATGCCCTGTTAACAGTGACACAATAAAAGGTACGTCAAGTGCACTGGGGTTTTGGGACTTCCCCCCCCCCACCCCCTAAAAGCACAAGCACATGATTACTTAAGGGCCTTAGTGATGCACACATCACCTTGCCCCTGCTTTTAAACCCTCACCGAAATGATGTATTGCGTCTGAGAGCTGCTCCTTTCTGCTCTAAATTAGAAAACAAACCCAAAAAAAATATATAACGGCGCGTGTACGGCCGAGTCGCGCCGACTGCAGTCGGGTGAGCACGACACACCGTCTCCGGAGAAGGCGAGGATGGAGCGCGTGCGGGACTGCTTGCCCTCCGCGTTCTTGCTCGAGCAGGTGTGAGAGCAGGGCGACCACGTCGTCCACTCGCTCAGCACGCAGTCGCTGGGGCAGGGCACCAGGCACGACAGCTGTGTGGGGAAACCCGGGTCTCCGCACAGCTCCGGCCCTGCTTCCGCGCCTGAGCAAAGTGCAAGCACACCGTCGATACGAACGCTGGTGATCTCTTCTTCAAACGTTCAAGTTCGTGAAGCACGCACCAACGCCAACGGGGACGAAAGCCTTCCGCACCTCCGATGAGCACTGTCGGCTACGTGCGGTGCGAAAGAAGTTCAGCATGCATGCAGTGCATGCAAGCCATTGCACACGGCTTCAACTCAAGACGATGTAGCTTGAGAAGTTGCATCCCTTCGCCAAACAACCACTGATTGAAGGACACCACGCATGCCGTGTCAGTAACGGGAGCTGTTGGACCAACTTCACAATGCTGGTCAGTGCGGGTTGGTAAAGGTGGGACCCATGAGGAGTTCACCACTGATGCTAGCCGTGGCTGGGAATCAAAGTCTGGTCGCCAGGTCAACTCACCACTGTGACACCGCTCCACCTGCACACACACACACACTATACACGATCCATGTATAGATACCCCAACAATTTTAATGTTTTCTCAACAGATGATTAAATATTGTGAGAGCGATGGCTCCCTATCTTACAGAGCAGGGTGTTGAAATATTTCGCGACTGTTGTGAGATTGGTGGAGGACATGTAGAGGCTTTGATATAAATTGACATTTTCTATCATATTTATCATCCACCAATCAAATACATAACAGTTGAAAGTTTAACACGAAGGCTTTCGCGACCAATATCATCCATAATACAGTTTTTTTTGGGTTCGATCGCGTAACTATATAAATGTGTCGTTAAACCCGCCACCACCCGCCACAGCCAATTAGTAAGGTTTGTCACGTAAACAGAACGTGGCCAATTTGTCACTAGTACAGGACACCAGTGTGTTGGAGAGCAAAGCCACAACATTTGCAATCTGATCTATGTATGTACTGTATGTTGGACTTCTTTCGCACCATACGTAGCCAACCGTGCTAATCGGAGATTTTAGTGGGGTGTCTATAAATGAATCACCATGTACAGGCGTCCCTCAGCGGAATACCCTCCTCTCCCCATAGCGTGAATTCGCAGTTACGCGATTCGTCTTTTGGGGACATACTTCACAACGCTATGCATTTCAGAGGTACGCGCTCAAGAAAAAATAAATGCGTAATTTAATTTTTCTAAACAAACAAAAAAAATATTTTCAATTATAAAAATTCGAAGTGCAGACATTATATTTCGTCGTTTACCAATGCAAACCTCCATCTGATGACGTCACAGTGTCCTTGCAGCGCCCAGTGTCATGGACTCTGATTGCACCACGTGGAAGCATTCAAGAAGCCCTGAAGTTCCTCCACATGCAGTAATCTTTGTATGAAGTAGTCTAATCAATTTTAATGATTATGTGTTATTAAACGTCTTATAAAAAAATGTTTCTTAATGTTATCATGTATTAATAAGTATTATACTATTCACGCGGATTTTGTAAATTAGGGCTAAAATTATGAAATGATCGTTAATTTTTATTCAGTAACCCCCCACCCCCCTTATAACATGTCCTGGGGAAAATATGCTTCATACATCGAGATTCGACTTGCGTGCTATTTTTTCAGGAACACACATCGCACATTATGTGAGGGGCGCCTGTATATCCGAATTGTGAAATTTCTGTCACAGGGCCATGTGCTGCTAATTTGCAGAATCCAAAAATGTAACTGAAATAATGCTAACAATGTTTTTTTTTTAATCTTTAACAAAGTGTGTTTAAGCATAACGTTTGACCTAATTTTATCATGAAATAACTTGTGGTATCGTAACATTCGAGTCCTATACTAACTTTGTGTCTCGACTAATTAAAACCCATTTTCACCATTTTATGTTTTAATTGGCTAACTCCACGTCCACGTAACTCCTAAGCGAACCAATTTAAAAAAAAATGTAAACAGATACTTCTAAAGAGCACCATGTTATATCAAAATGTATATATACAGTATCTAAGACTCCACAGTAATTATAGAAGACTAGAATTGCTTTAATTTATTTTGCAGATGTGATTAAATGTCTATTCGTACCAAGACTATTTGTGTCTGGATCACGATATGGCAAAGAGAAAGCTATATTTACATGCAATTTGCATATATTTAGTGGCCTTCTAATAATTTATTCATCATTAAAATGCAACATAGATGACAATTTGTTCTCATTAAGTGTAATATTGAACTGTATATATATAATTAGCTACATTGAGTACAGGTTGGGAGATATTCTACAGATAAATAAAGTAGATCAAAGGTAACCTAAAATAAGTAATTCAATATCTTTAAAATATGCATATCCATCACTACCCTCTGATTTGAAATTTACATATTACAAGGCAGCACAATAGAGCCACAGTATGGATTTATCCGAAACTGTAAAGCATGATGCCGGTAATGCAAGCACTGCCACTGACTATTCCCCATCAATTCCATACATGTCAAACGCAGCCACCTCCCCACCCTGCTAAAATCCAGGCTTCACTTGGCCATCACTAGGCCTTCCAAAATTGGAATTTAGAGCTGGCTCAGGGTCCAGGCTTTCGGGCAATGTCTTTTTCAAAGCCAGTTTTACGAACAGGCAAGGTTTAAGATAGCATGCGGGAGGAAGCAGAGTGGGTGGAATATAAATTTAATGCATTGAGAGCATGCAAGCAAAAGGCCTGAGTTCAGCTTTTTGCAAAATTATTTTTAAAAGGTTAAGGCAGATGAAAATATACATAGTTCCAAGTTGTCTTGTGAGTGTGATCAACACAAAGTTTGCAATTCAGTGCATGTAATTACAATCCAAATTCTCTACCTTTATTTAAATTGCCATGAGAAAATTACAGTGCTGTTTTGAATACAATGAGCTGTATTGGAAGTGTATAACAGCGCTTTGTATCATTACATAATAGCAAGACAGCTGTAAATGGTGAATAATATTGTATATCAAATAAAGTGTTTCAAGGATAAATGGATTTCTTAAAGTTGTTTGAACAGGAGCATAATGTAACGGTAGTGCCACTTTAAAGATACAAAACCAAGTGCATTGAAATGCTTTGTAATAGTACATTTAAAAATATACATATATTTTTGGAACAGATAATTAAGTTTTAAAAAAATATATAATACATACAAATTGAAGTGCAACTAAATGCGATGTAACATGGCCAAGAGGGGGTCGAAGTTATAATGATAAAAGCACGTACTGTATGTATTAAGACAAAAAGGATGCTTCCAGTGCTGGGCAACATAGAATTAAATAACAATGTAAGAAGACAAGAGATGCACCCGGGATTCTGCAGAGCCGAGTTCGTGGGGCCTGCTTCAGGGCACGTTAACATCCAAAGGCGCAGAAGTGGCTAAATGCCATTGAAGGTTACTTCAATGGCATTTCAGAACACAATAATGAAGTGTTTTAGTTTATTTTTAGTACCATGTACGTCTGCTAAACTGTCGGTCATTGGTGTTCCAGGCTGAAATATATATATATGTGTTTGAACAGGACACGTAACAATAACAAAATACCATTTGAGCAAAGTTTTAAAATGAATAATCTGGAAAGGTGATACTAAGGCTTACATCTATATCAATATATTAGTACGATATGTTTATGTTCATGACATTGGTGACAAGGTAAAAAAAAAGCTTTTCTCCCATTACAGGGATGATGTCAGACCGTAAAGTGCATTCCCTTCAGCCATATATTAGACTCAGACATCCCTGTGCACAAGTGGAAGAGTAATGAAGCTGCCCAGAGGCAGTAGCTCTTCTCAAAGATGCTTGGCCAATACTAATGTGTGGGTCACACTCCACACCTTCAGCACTGCATGGCTGCCCAGTCAGACCATTTTTATTTGGCATTAACATTTCAGCAATGACTTTCTCCTTGAATATGATTTGGGACACTTTTTTCCATACTTACATTTATTATTTTAATATAATTCACACGGATTTTCCCCCTAATTAACAATGTGCTATATACATACCAATTGATTGAAAATTAAATTTCAACGTCTCAATGTGCATCCGCAAGCCCTATACCAGGGCAGGTAAAATATGAAAAAGGACATTCAGTTCTAACGCAGCCACTTGATCAAGGCACTTAGATTCTGACATTAGCACATGCATTCTATTCATTCCCATGCTGAGCACATGCCTATTTTGCACTCTCTGAGAAGACATCCAAGCACTTGCATCTTAAATTTGTAGAGGTTTTGTTGTTGCAATCATTGCCAACTGCGCTGACATCACTTGAAACCCCTTCTGGGCAGAGGTGGCAGCATTCATTTTTCACTTTGATGCCCCAGGGCTTAAACCTGGGAATGCAAGGGTGCTGGCTGAGTTTCCTGACATAGTGTATTAAGACCCCCAAGGCATTGGGCCATATTTGTTAAGATCAAATCAAATTGTAAAAAAATATATATTCACTTGAATGTTTTTCCCAGAGCGTTTCTTCAATGTCCCACCCATTCCAGGTAGGCCAATAACACATAACCATAGTATCTGTTACATTTTGGCTTAAATTGTATATGAATATATATTTAAACTTGATTTAATAGTTGAAGCCATGGCTTTAGTTCAGTTGACTGGAATATCAAAAATCTGTGGAAAGATTCTACATGATTATTTAAATGTGTTCAGGAATGTTTCACACCAACTTTCATTTCTTAATAAAACATGTTACAAATGCAACCCAGTAATTTTATGTAACCGTTAAGGAAACTATATACGTGTGCACTTTACACATCTTCTTAAGACAAAACGATACCAACACGTGGGGCTGAATGCAATAAATACTTACAAATGAATGCGTTGAAAACACCATCAAACTTGTAATATGTACTCTGCATATCACACCTGACAATTCCCCCTATACTACATCTCCACTGCAACTGATATTTGTGAACGTATCGACCTGCCACATGCATGAGAATCTAACGTAAGCATGAGCTACATGTCATAACAAATATTTTTTCGAAGTCAGGTAGTATATATGCTTAGCTCTTTCGGTAAAGTCACGTTAAAGGGAAACAATAAAATAATAAAATATA